CAAAACTGTTGACCTAGCTTGCAACTAGTAAAACCTACTCCAATATGGTAACTTTCTCTTGCAACTAGTAAAACCTCCTTTTGCAACTATTAAATTTTCTTTGAGCTTGCCTAACAGTATGAATTTCAATTTTGAACTGTGCCTGCTGTTTAAACAAAGTTAAAGGTCCAATATGGTAACTTTCATGAAGGTTAGCCCCAAATACCCATCAAAAAACATGGTTAGCCAGAAAATATATGCCCAGATAGAAAGAAAGAAAATTCATACTGTAATCTGTTCAAACTTCATGTTAGGTGTTTGTAGTTTCCATAACATGTATTCCCTTCGTCGAGAGTTTTTGACACTAGTGTAGTGTCAAAAACGCTCTTATATTATGGGGCGGAGGGAGTAATACACATTATCTCTAAGATCTTTTCTGCAATGAAAATATATGAGCAAGTCAATCAAATTACCTTTGATGTCAATGTAGAACCGGTTATGCTGATAAAATTTGCCCCAGCTTCAGTCGCGAGTGCCTTTGCCAAGAGTGTTTTTCCTGTGCCAGGAGGACCAAAAAGCAAAACACCTTTGCAGGGCTGAAAAGGGTCCAGGTATATAGAAGTCATAAGAGAAATTCAGCTAAGCTCATTCAAGTATCAAAATTTCCAATATGACGAATATTAAAAGCAACAGCTATTGATACACGCAAATTCTTAACGGTTCAGTGAACTGAACTCGAATAATATGTTTTTCTTTTTTTCGAACCATGCAGGAGAACTGCATGTGATCTATTATAGGAGAAGAAAATCACCAGGGTAAAGAACCCCGAAGTACAAACATAGACACGACCTGGGAGGCAGTGGCGGAGCCAGCTCATACTTAGAGCCTGGGCAAGATATACGTGATGCCAAGTTAATTAGATTTTGCCCAAACAAACTGTAAGTAAACCATTTGTTTACTACTAGAGCTCCATGCACATGCACCATGGGAGCCCGGGCAGCAGCCCCGGCTCGCCGGGTGCTGTCTCCGCCACTGCTGGGAGGGTAACGAGCCAGCGCCCCACACACACACCACTGACTGAAAACTACACAAGCTACAGGGGGTAGCAACTAGCAAGGACAAAAAAAGATCAATGAATGTGCCTAAGAACCGTAAGAATACTAGTGATGGTTTCAATTGCAGAATCCGAACATTTGGTTTAAATATTAAACTTCAAAAGTTAATTGTAAATCAATCATGCTCGTGAAATTAAATATGTTTTTCATGATCAATTACACACTCAACAGAAACTAGCATAGGCACTATCCCTAAACACAAACTAGCATAAGCATACATAAGCAGAAACAGAAACTAGCATTTAGCAGATTAACATTTAAGTGATCAACAATAGCCCAATTTTTGCTATGGATCAACTAGCACAAACGATATGAGCCTACAGATGCATGCAACCAGGTAAACCACCACCGGAGTTTGGCGGATTTAACATTTAAGAGATCGAGATTCAATTTTCTGGCTGGGTCAACTGAAAGGATATGAACCAACAGATGTGCACAACCAGATAAACCTTGTTTACACTTGTTAGTTATACTGATACTTGTTTAATACACGGTATGAAATAGATGCTTCAAAGCGGATGGAAATAGTTTAGGATAGTTCCGTAACCTCACTTTTCTCTACTAGACTAACAGTCGGAAAAGATTTGTTCAGTAACGTCTACATCCACATCATATGATCACTAACTACAGATGATGACATTTAAAATTAACTCATGAGTGCCACCTTGATTTTTACGATATTAAGCAAATATATCTATATTCTGCAAGAAGTCATTGCCACCTTGATTTTCACAATATTAAGCAACTCCTGTCTAGAAGACAGTAATGACTCAAATGCAACATGGGTCCCATTAGCATGCCGACAAAAAAGGTGATGTGGTGGTCTCGCAGGAAAGGAAGTTGTACCCTTAATAAATTGCCGTGAGAAAAAAGCTCTGGTCTCCTCATTGGAAGAGCAACGAGCTCATCCAGTGTCCTCTTGACATCCTCAAGCGCGCCAATATCATCGAATTTCACTCCAATTTCATCAGGAGGTACAACAGAAGATATGAAATCGCGTTCGTACTCATCTTTTGCCAAATTCTGTAGATAGGAGACTTATCAGTTTGGATAGGCATATAGGAACAGCAGCTAGTGGCTACGGTTGCAGTAGCAGAAAAGAAAGGTGGGGAAGCTAACTAAGCTAGCAAAATACCTTGAGATTTTGAGAAAGATTCTTAGATTTAGTAACCTGCTCCTTCAGCCTCTCGATGGCTAAATCAAGACTTCACAAAATTGCAAACAATAGTAAAATGTCAGAAAAAAAAAGATCAAATACACAATTATGCTATTGCGGTTCAAATTGAAGTTAAGTACCTCTCACGTGGAATGGTTAATCTCTCACCCTCAATAGAGGGAAGAACTGTTGATGACAGATAATGACTTCTAGCCCATCCAATAACTTTCGCCGCTTCTGCAATGTGCAATACACTCATTGAGTACTCATCTTACCTCACCTCTACCTTAGAACTGGTGATGGAAATTTACTCCCGTCGAGTAGTGGAGGAACAAATAAGATCAAATTTAGTATTCATAGCCCGTCAAAAGAGTCTGTTAATCTACTTTCCCCTTTCAACTGAAGTCCAGCATAGAAATCAATTCAAAAGGACAAGATGTTCCCACCTGTAACCAGCCAACTACAGCCAGTTACTATAAATCGCAATGTAGCCTTCCAAAGAAAAAAATTATCTGGTTTACCTCCATGGATTCATCATTCAATCAATCATCAAACTATAAGTACATGTAGAAACATTATATTTCCGGGCAAACAGACTTCACTACAAGGTTTCTATAGTACTAGGATAGTAAGACTGGTAACCAACCAGAGGCCAAATACTGACAACTAGGTGAAACCAGGATTAGTTTCGAAGAAACTAGGTGGCCGGACACCTAGGTGAAATCAGGATTAATTTCGAAGAAACTAGGTGGCTGGACGGCACGTAGTAGGAGAAGAGAAAGTAGAACATAGGTTAGCAATGATGAACAGGAGATAATAGACTGATTAACTTGTCATCATACACAGAGTGTCGCTTACATAGGAGGCTTACTTCATTACTTGACCCCTAAGTGGTACTAATCCGATCTCTATCAATATTTTGTGTCCTCCATTTTTAAATAATATTCCGCATTTATTTGGATATATTAACTAAGCCCTATATCTGTGCATATAACATAATTTCAGTTACTCCCTCCGTCACAGTTTACACGGCGCCGTGTAAACTGTGACGGAGGGAGTACTTGGAGTTATTCAGAGCCAGGGTTGTGGGCTTGTGGCACTGGCAGTTGCACTTCATTGGCAACAATAATAGTTTACATGAACAGCCATAGAACTATTCCCCAAAACACAACACTAACAGAGTATCAAATGGTTGATAATAGTTCAAACAAAATTTTCAAAAGGAAGAAATATTCTAAATGTGTATGTAAGACACCAGCGTATAAGATGGTGTTTGGTATCAGCCACATGAAAAATGAAAATACTACCTCCTGGAGAATCCTAGTTAAGGATGACCTGCTTTTACATCCCCATAGGCTCAAAATGGAGCCTAAACTGCCATTGAAGGCTTAGATTTGCTCCCTAACACGATTCTGTTGTGCATAAGTTTATTATGCTTTGGATCTGTTGTAAATACCACTATAAATTTTTTCGAACATCTATAAATTTTTACTGTCAGGGACTCCCCTACTGTTTTTGGTCAAACAAATTGCACAAAAATACAGGATGCCTGAGCTGAAGCATGTTAGCATACATACTTTGCTTTGTCAAAACGACACCATCAGACTTCACATGCATAAGCTCCACGCATGATAGTTCATTCTCTTCAAGAACCTGCATTGGTTAATCACAATTTACAGGAAGTACATAAGAAAACAGAAGTCCAGGAACATTTCCTACAAGAAAATATTTGCAGGAAATTAAATGACCACACAAGCACTGTAACCAGACCTTGTGTAATTCAACGAGGTTATGCCTTGAAATAATAATTTTCCTATCCTCTTCAATCTGGTTATTGAAAACTCTTAGTTGCTCACCTTCCTGTAATAAAATAAACAAAAGACAAGAGTCAGGAGTTTCCCCCACTTGATGAATGTTCTAGGCACAGCAGGTCATGGATTTAACCAAAAACACTGTGATGGCATAATCACATGTTTATGGAGGACCCTCTCATTTATTCGTTTTGATCGGACAACTTCATATTTATTTCGATTAGCAAAAGAATCTTACCTCTGGAAGGGGAACAACGAAACTGTTTGTGAAGATCTTTGCTATATCACTGGGTCTTGAATCGTTTTGTACTTTTAGCCAACGCTTCAGGGACGATGGCTGGATATAGACATTTTAGGTAATTACGTACCAATTTTAGAATATGAGATGGCAACATTACATATATACAAGTGCTTTTGGACAGTATAAAGCAAAAGCAAAATAAGGCTATTGATAAAACTTATGCCTATTTTCTATTGAGCTTTTATAGTTATGCTTATACTGCAATTTATGCTTCATAAGGAGCTAGCTAGTAGTTTTAGTTTTAGTAGCAAAATTATAGTTACCTGTGTTCTCTACACATGCTCTACAGAACGCAAAGTGTTTCTCGTCGATCAGCAACTAGAGAAGTTATTTTGTGATTGCACCACATAAAAAAAAGGCCAATATTTGGTGTGTAATTGTAATTTTAGTCAAAACAAACATGTTTTGCAACAGCAAATTGTGTAGTGCAATGCAGAAACTAAAGAAATAACATTATGAGCTTGTGCCTTCTAATATAAGAGCAGATCGCACAAGAAAATACAAAGCTGACGGAGCGAAGTAGTTATTTTCTGATTACGAAAAATATATTCCGGATAATAAGCGTGTACATAATATATGTAATCGAATATCGATAATTACCAGTGAAGACAGGCTTGTGAGATTCTGAAACATCAGTTTCGGCTGTAGATGTCCAAAACAAAAATAAGAACTAAGAAAATGTTTTATCAGTTAAAAGTTAAGCACACGAGAATTCTAAAGCTTACAGGTTCCTTATCCTTGTCCTTGGATACTGCTGCCAGCATGTTCTGCCCACATATCATTACTACTGGTCCGGTGAGTTGGTCAAACATTTTGTCTACCTTTTGGATAAACTCACTTCGATTTGATTTTGGAACTGCTCTAGATAACCACTGGGAACTGTCTGGAAAGTAGACAATGACTGGCTCTAGAGATGGAAGAACCTATTCAAGAATCATAAGCAAGTAAAGGAGCAGGTAAACTTATCAAATGAGACTGGCAAGAAATGAACAAATATTCTGAAGTCTAAGAAAAATATATATGCATGATATATATTTTCACAAATCACCTCGCAAAGTGCTTCAATTGCGATATGCCAATCTTCTGATTCAATATCATGGTCATGCGCAATATCTTGAGCTAAATTAAGAGGAAACCAGATGAAGGTGCCTGAAATAATCATATCACACTGTCGATCAACAGAGTAGGGGTATACCATCAACCCAGTAAATAGATGGTTTTGCATTTTCCTCCTTGCTATTTTCGTCACCATCATGCAGCTTCTCTGCAGGAGGGTCAAATATGACAGCTACTTGATCCCCATTGATCTCGTATACTTCTCCCCGCTGCCCATTTGACAGAGTCCTGCAATACGTAAAGTTAGAAACAGTCTTTTATCATAAAACCGAGAATGTGTACAGGCAAAAAAGTAAGAGAAAACACACTACATTTGTTTATTTTATAGGATACATGGTAAGCAACACCAAAGGTAAATAACCCTACTCTAGACAAATATGACAGTAAATACAGAAAGAGTGCCAATTCAACTAAGTTACTAAGACATATTTTTCTTGACGCATTTAACAATAATAATAATAATAATAATAATAATAATAATAATAATAATACAGGAAATCCAAAACATGAAATTCAGATTACAATGTTGCCTTGGGACTCAGAACTACCAAGTACCAAAGTCATTTTATCATGTTCCACGCGATAAAGATAGACCACCCACCTGCCACTAATAAAAGTATACGCATTTCTCGAGCCATCTTGAGTAGGTAATTTCCCCAAAATGATCCTGTGTATATATGGTACATATCAGTGTTAATGTGATGAAGCTCGATTCAGAAGGGAACCACCGTAAAATTAAAAGGTGGTGTAACTTCTGGTATGCAGTACAAATAACAGATAACATGCGCTCCTGAAACCAAGATAGGTGTATTTTTCCAATTTCACCAATACGATGGACAATAATACTGTTACGCTAGATGTGTAGATGGTCAACTCTTAAAACAAATCCACCCACTAACACAAGACCAAACCCGAACTAGTCCATCATGTGCTTGTGTACACCTCACGTGGAGACATACGGAACACGAGTAGATTCACGTGTGTGCTCCCCCCACCCTTCTCAGCACAAAAACACGCACACAACTATGTGCGGCTGCACACATCATGTGTACTTCATGCAGAGCATGAAACCTTATCATGAAAAGCAAATCAAGAGGAATAGAATCAATATTCAGCAATCACCTCTGATCTGCTTCGATAACTGCTGAGGAACCAACATACTTGACTTTATCTCCTGAAAACAAGTATTGGAAAGGAACAACATTAGAATTAAACTTCTGCGTTAAAAAAAGCATAGTTAATACAATCTCCATCCGTAATTAACTGTCGCTGAATGAGTGTATCTAGACGCATTTCAGTGTGTAGATACACTCATTTCAGCGACAGTTAATTCCGGACGGAGGGAGTACAATGTAGCATGTATTTCTAATTTGGTTTCAGAGTGTTTACTTCTAAAAAGAAGTCTGAACTCCAGAGTTGGTGACATTTCATTCAGTGGAGCCAATAGAGGCCTGGCTCAAATGTGTGCCAGGTGAAAGGAAATTACAAATGACGATGCAGATAAGCATAACTAGAACTTGCTTCAAGAGAGTAGGCAAGATGTTTGGTCGTAGATCATCAGATAGTAAGACGGTAGACACATTCCCAAGTAATCCAGGTTCAGGATAAAATGCTTTAATCGGATTTAGTATCAGTAAAAAAAGATGTCACACATATACATGTACCTGGCAAAATTTCTATGGTCGCTGAGGGTAGTCCGGGACAAAAATAATAATTCGAGGTGGCAGCATACCAGAAAAAAAATCATGAATTCATGATGGAGTGAAATATCACATTACCCCTTTGGAAAGGCCTTTTATCTTCCTCTGACGACTTGGCTGTTTCAGGGGATTCTGATGATGTACCTTCTTCTTCACCAACTACTCTCTAGAAGCACAACCAAATGAAAAGCACTATCAACTACATATACATGTAAAACTAACAAGGCAGTATTGAAGGTACATACTAGGAAGCAGAACTAATGGCTTGTCCTAGCTTGATGTTTTCTCAAAGCAAAAGAAGACAATTAAAAAAGAAACAGCAGAAATGGTAGCGCACTGAACTTGAATTTTACTAGGTTAACAATGTTTACTTCTCCAGGAATTAGATATACTGTCTCGAAATTCAATATATTAAAATAGGGAGTGACTCTCAATAGTAAACACTTGAGAGGGTACAGCCATGAGTTTGCAGTCAAATATATACAAGTGTCGCAGTTTTGAACTGGAGTTAGTTCAAAACTGCGACACTTATTATGGATAGGAGGTAGTAGCATTTTTGGTTGCTGTAACCATTTTATTTATAATAAGTTCAAGAAGCAATCCAAAATCAACAGCATATTTTTGAAACATTCTTGAAGCATAATTTCTCATCGACTACAAAATGGTGTTACAATTAAATGGAGATTGTTTATTGTCAGATGCTCCCTGCTTTGCGGACATTAAAAGGAACAAAATCCAAAGTGATTTTCTGAGCAAGAATTACAGTTAAATGAAGATTGTTTATTCTCAGATGCTCCCTGCTTTGCGGACATTAAAAGGAACAAGATACAAAGTGATTTTCTGAACAAGAATTATGAAACCTTCATGGTAGCACAAGACCAAAATATGAGCAAGCGTTTATTTATTGGTACGGTCACACATCAGAATGCAATATATCACCTTGGCAAATTCCTCAATAGTACATGGGACCAGCTTCTTGAGGTCATCCACGGACTTTTTGAGTTCTCCCACAGATTTTAGAGCATCCTCATCATCACTTTCACCTGATTTAGCTTCGTTGCTGCTTGTCCAATCTTCATCACCTTCATCTTCCATCTCAGACTCTGAACCTTCATCTTCTGACTCACCATGCTCATCTTCTTCCTCGCTTTCTGAAGAATCTTCCCCAAAATCCTAACAAGTTAGGATTTATTAGGTTTGCAGCTACCCCTTCACATTTTGTACGCAAGGGTTTTCAGTATCTTACATATGGAGCTAGAACACTGCTGTCCAGGACTAGTAGTGGCACCCGCAACTCATGTGCAAGAGCTCTTACCAATCTCTCTCTGTAGAGTTCGGTTCCTACATCAAACAAATCTCAGAATCCAGCATTTGCATCACTAAGCATCCTCCTATTTACCGGATAATACCTGGCAAGCTCTGGAGCAATATCCTCCCTCCAGAAGATGGTAGCCGAGAGCCATACTCTGACGTGATGCCCTTGTGCCGCAAGTGGGATGCCGTGCACTCTCGCAGCAGCTGCCTTGCATTCTCACTTACAAATCAAATCAAATAAAACGAATTAGCTTAGTCGTTAGCACACTCATTTAAGCTTTGTTCAAACAAAACATCGAACAGATGGTGTGCGCATCTCACTTGACGTAGTAGGGGAAATTCTGCCATGTGAGGTTTCCCTTCTCCCACGGTACAACGCGGCGCCGGAACTCGATGCGGAATCTCTCCCGCCTGGTGAGGAACGGCGACTCACGCTTCCTGCAGTCGCTGAGGAATCTCTCGCCGCTCAGCCACTCCTGCTGGTCCCTCTCGCCGAGGCGCGCGTGCTCCTGCTCGCTGCACCGTCCGCTGCTCCCTGCCGCCGCCTCCGCTGCCCCGGCGCCCCTCGCCTCCGCGCTGCCTACGCCGCCCTTGGAACCGTAGAACCGGCACAGCCGCCGCCCCGCATCGCACGGCCTCGGCGCCCCGACTGCGCTGAACCTCCGGACGAGGCAACCGCCGCCACTCGTGGAGATTCCTAGAGAGCTGCACTTGCACCAGAGCGGCGGGTGCTGGAGGAGGCAGCGCAACCGCATCGCATGGTGCATCTCGGGCAGCTTCCGAAGCAAATGGGGGGGAGGAATTGGCGGTCTAGGGAACGCTAGGTCGCGGAGTTGGGCGGCGGCGGCGATGAGGACGGGATGGTTCTGTGGGGAGATTGGCAACCGGACCCGTGTGTGCGCGGCGGAGACGGTGGCGCGCGACCGGCCGCAACGGAGGGGAGGGAGACGGAGATACCACGGCAACCGGTTCGGCTAATCCGCATCTCACGCCTTACCGCTCTTGCTTGCGAAGCTGGGAGCTTCTGGGTTGTGAGCCTTTGGGCTGGGCTGCATTCCAAATGGGCTTTTACTGATAACACAGCTGAACCCTGATTTCTTTCCTTTCTTCTTCCCTCTTGTTGTCCTCTTATCAGTCAACACTACATTTTGGTTTGGAACTGTCGGGGTTTGGGGAATGGCCTGGCAGTTCGGGGGCTCTGGACCTCCAGAAGCGTGAGGACCCCGACATCCTCTTCTTATCTGAAACAAGGATGGATGAGAGAAGGATGATGTGGTTTAAGTACTTGCTAGGGATGACAAGCATAGTGGTGAGGGGTTGTGAAGGAAGAAGTGGGGGGCTTGCTATGCTATGGAAGAATCATGTAAAAGTTGATCTGCACAACTACTCAAGAAATCACATTGATGTGGTGGTAGTGGAGCAGGATGGCTTTAGATGAAGATTTACTGGCATATATGGCGAGCCAGCAACAAATAAAAAGGAGAAAACATGGAAGCTCTTAAGAATTCTTGATCAACAACTCACGCTCCCATGGCTTTGTGCTGGTGATTTCAACGAGGTCCTGTATAGTCATGAAAAGATGGGAGGGCCAACTCGGGCCCCTCGACAAATGGAGGGATTTAGATTAGCACTCTCAGATTGTGGTCTAAGAGATCTGGGTTATCTTGGAGACAAGTATGCCTGGAGAAACTAGAGCCATGAAGCGAGCAGATATGTCAAGGAAAAACTTTATAGAGTCGTCGGGTCCCGGAGCTGGTGCATAAGATTTTCATCATACAAAGTGATAACATGAGATCCTAGACACTCTGACCACCGACCTATGACTATACATATGAAAGGCGCAGATAGAACTATGAGACCTCAAAGAGGGAACAATGGCTTCAGATTTGAAGCAAAGTGGTTGCAGGAGGAGGGATGTGAAGAGATAGTCAGGAATGCATGGTCCGACGCGTCTTTTCGAGGCGAAAATGATTTATCTCGGGAACTAAGAAGAATCGCGGGAGATCTAAAAAATTGGGACACTAATGTGTTAGGGGGTCTAGAGAAAAGAATTAAAATAATAAAAACTGAGCTAGAACATGTGAGGAGAGCACCGATTGACGAGAACACGGTGTCTCGAGAGCATCTCTTGAGGGAAAAGCTGGATAGACTGGACCACCAACAGGACATATTCTGGAGATAGAGAGCTCATGTTAAGTGGTTGCAGGCTGGGGATAAAAACACAACTTTTTTCATATCTATGCGTCAGAAAGGAAGAAGAAGAATACTATCAAGAGACTAAGGAGAGAGGACGGGACATGGGTGGAGTGTGAGGAACAATTGAAGGATCATGTTGCTAGTGTTGGAAATATGCCCTAGAGGCAATAATAAAGTGGTTATTATTATATTTCCGTGTTCATGATAATTGTCTATTGTTCATGATGTAATTGTATTAACCGGAAACCGTAATACATGTGTGAATACATAGATCATAATATGTCCTAGTAAGCCTATAGTTGACTAGCTCATTGATCAATAGATGGTCATGGTTTCCTGACCATGGACATTGGATGTCATTGATAACGGGATCACATCATTAGGAGAATGATGTGATGGACAAGACCCAATCCTAAGCGTAGCACAAGATTGTGTAGTTCGTTTGCTAAAGCTTTTATAATGTCAAGTATCATTTCCTTAGACCATGAGATTGTGCAACTCCCGGATACCGTAGGAATGCTTTGGGTGTACCAAACGTCACAACGTAACTGGGTGGCTATAAAGGTGTACTACATGTATCTTCGAAAGTATATGTTGGGTTGGCACGAATCGAGACTGGGATTTGTCACTCCGTATGATGGAGAGGTATCTCTGGGCCCACTCGATAATGCATCACCATAACGAGCTCAATGTGACTAAGGAGTTAGCCACGGGATCATGCGTTACGGAACGAGTAAAGAGACTTGCCGGTAACGAGATTGAACGAGGTATAGATACCGAGATCGAATCTCGGGCAAGTAACATGCCGATAGACAAAAGGGAATTGTATACAGGATTGATTGAATCCCCGAAATCGTGGTTCATCCGATGAGATCATCGTGGAACATGTGGGAGCCAACATGGGTATCCAGATCCCGCTGTTGGTTATTGGCCGGAGAGATTGTTGGAAATATGCCCTAGAGGCAATAATAAATTGATTATTATTATATTTCCTTGTTCATGATAATCGTTTATTATCCATGCTAGAATTGTATTGATAGGAAACTCAGATACATGTGTGGATACATAGACAACACCATGTCCCTAGTAAGCCTCTAGTTGACTAGCTCGTTAATCAATAGATGGTTACGGTTTCCTGACCATGGACATTGGATGTCGTTGATAACGGGATCACATCATTAGGAGAATGATGTGATGGACAAGACCCAATCCTAAGCCTAGCACAAGATCATGTAGTTCGTATGCTAAAGCTTTTCTAATGTCAAGTATCATTTCCTTAGACCATGAGATTGTGCAACTCCCGGATACCGTAGGAGTGCTTTGGGTGTGCCAAACGTCACAACGTAACTGGGTGGCTATAAAGGTACACTACGGGTATCTCTGAAAGTGTCTGTTGGGTTGGCACGAATCGAGATTGGGATTTTGTCACTCCGTGTAAACGGAGAGGTATCTCTGGGCCCACTCGGTAGGACATCATCATAATGTGCACAATGTGACCAAGGGGTTGATCACGGGATGATGTGTTACGGAACGAGTAAAGAGACTTGCCGGTGACGAGATTGAACAAGGTATCGGTATACCGACGATCGAATCTCGGGCAAGTACCATACCGCTAGACAAAGGGAATTGTATACGGGATTGATTGAGTCCTTGACATCGTGGTTCATCCGATGAGATCATCGTGGAACATGTGGGAGCCAACATGGGTATCCAGATCCCGCTGTTGGTTATTGACCGGAGAACATCTCGGTCATGACTACATGTCTCCCGAACCCGTAGGGTCTACACACTTAAGGTTCGATGACGCTAGGGTTATAAAGGAAGTTTGTATGTGGTTACCGAATGTTGTTCGGAGTCCCGGATGAGATCCCGGACGTCACGATGAGTTCCGGAATGGTCCGGAGGTAAAGATTTATATATAGTAAGTCCTGTTTCAGCCATCGGGACAAGTTTCGGGGTCATCGGTATTGTACCGGGACCACCGGAAGGGTCCCGGGGGCCCACCAGGTGGGGCCACCTGCCCCGGGGGGGCACATGGGCTGTAGGGGGTGCGCCTTGGCCTACATGAGCCAAGGGCACCAGCCCCTAGAGGCCCATGCGCCAAGATATAGGAAAAAGGGGAGAGTCCTAAAGGGGGAAGGCACCTCCGAGGTGCCTTGGGGAGGATGGACTCCTCCCCCCTCCTTAGCCGCACCCCTTTCTTGGAGTAGGGGGCAAGGCTGCGCCTCCCCCTTCTCCCCTGCCCCTATATATAGTGGAGGGGAGGGAGGGCATCCATACCTGAGCCCTTGGCGCCTCCCTCCCTCCCGTGACACCTCCTCCTCTCCCGTAGGTGCTTGGCGAAGCCCTGCAGGATTGCCACGCTCCTCCATCACCACCACGCCGTTGTGCTGCTGCTGGGTGGAGTCTTCCTCAACCTCTCCCTCTCTCCTTGCTGGATCAAGGCGTGGGAGACATCGTCGAGCTGTACGTGTGTTGAACGCGGAGGTGCCGTCCGTTCGGCACTAGGATCATCGGTGATCTGAATCACGACGAGTACGACTCCATCAACCCCGTTCACTTGAACGCTTCCGCTTAGCGATCTACAAGGGTATGTAGATGCACTCTCCTTCCCCTCATTGCTAGTCTCTCCATAGATAGATCTTGGTGACACGTAGGAAAATTTTGAATTTCTGCTACGTTCCCCAACAGTGGCATCATGAGCTAGGTCTATTGCGTAGATTCTTTGCACGAGTAGAACACAAAGTAGTTGTGGGCGTCGATATTGTTCAATATGCTTGCCGTTACTAGTCTTATCTTGATTCGGCGGCATCGTGGGATGAAGCGGCCCGGACCAACCTTACACGTACGCTTACGTGAGACCGGTTCCACCGACAAACATGCACTACTTGCATAAGGTGGCTGGCGGGTGTCTGTCTCTCCCACTTTAGTCGGATCGGATTCGATGAAAAGGGTCCTTATGAAGGGTAAATAGCAATTGGCATATCACGTTATGGTTCATGCGTAGGTAAGAAACGTTCTTGCTAGAAACCCATAGCAGCCACGTAAAACATGCAAACAACAATTAGAGGACGTCTAACTTGTTTTTGCAGGGTATGCTTTGTGATGTGATATGGCCAAAAAGGATGTGATGAATGATATATGTGATGTATGAGATTGATCATGTTCTTGTAATAGGAATCACGACTTGCATGTCGATGAGTATGACAACCGGCAGGAGCCATAGGAGTTGTCTTTATTTATTTGTGACCTGCGTGTCAACTTAAACGTCATGTAATTACTTTACTTTATTGCTAACCGTTAGCCATAGTAGTAGAAGTAATAGTTGGCGAGGCAACTTCATGAAGACACGATGATGGAGATCATGGTGTCATGCCGGTGACGATGATGATCATGGAGCCCCGAAGATGGAGATCAAAAGGAGCAAAGTGATGATGGCCATATCATGTCACTATTTGATTGCATGTGATGTTTATCATGTTTATACATCTTATTTGCTTAGAACGACGATAGTAAATAAGATGATCCCTTACAACAATTTCAAGAAGTGTTCTCCCCTAACTGTGCACCG